CCAACATGGACATTCAGTTCATTTTAGATACATATTCGTGTGTCAAATATGTCATTGAATACATAGGGAAAAGTCAAAGAGTATATCTAAGCTTATGAAAGACATAGTGGATAGCTTAAAATCATCATCGGATATGTCTGTGAAAACACAGTTAAGGAAAATTGCGTCTTCATTTTCCGGAAGTCAAGAAATATCTGCTCAAGAAGCGGTCTACACTTGTTTAGGAATTAAACAATCATGTACATCTACTGGCCACGTATTTATTAATACAAATCATTCGGATAAAAGAACTCGCATCGTTAAACCTATTGCTCTTCGGGGTCTAATGAAACCTGAATCTACTGACATATTTTGTGATGGCCTAATAGAATATTATTCATGTAGACCACTTTATTATGAAAATTTAACTCTAGCTGAATTTGCAGCTGACTTTGAAATTAAAAATAAACAAAAATCATCTAAAAAGTTGTATAATTCTGAATCTGATGATACAATAGACGTTGAATCAAATGATGATGTATTTTATGAAAATAATGTTCTAATTGGGAAACTCAACAAGTTTATGCACAAGCGTAAGATTCGAAAAATTATTCGCTACGTAAGATTTAGTATTGATAAAAGTCCTGCCGACTTTTATAGGGAAAGAGTTATGCTGTTTTTTCCTTGGAGAAATGAATACACTGATATAGAAAATATAAATTGTCAAGAAGTATATGAAAAAAATATTGAACAAATACAGCAAATGTATTATCAGTTCAATAAAATTGAAGAAGAAGATTTAGAAGAGAATGTAAATAACGTTGAAAAGCAACAAGATATTAATGAGACTGAATTACCAGATGATTGGGTTCCACATGATGAAATAATGTTGGTTGTAGGGGATTTTAATGACAATGACGATGCTGGTAATTCAGATAAAAATAATGAAATTAATGGAATGTTTAACGTACATAAAATTGATAACGAACAATTTATAAACCTAGTGAAATGTATGAATGAAGGTCAACGCATGATTCTCTACCATGTTACTAATGTACTTAGACAGCAAATATGGGGATCAGGTGCACCTAGTATTTTATGTTATGTAACTGGCCCAGCTGGGGCTGGTAAATCTGTACTTATACGGACTTTAGCTCAATCAACAATTAGAATAGCTAATCTGAGGCCAGATATAGATGATTTGTCACTTACTCCTGTGTTACTCACAGCGCCTACAGGCAAAGCAGCATACGGAATAAGAGGTTTAACACTTCATGCTGCATTTAAATTACCAATTAATCAATTTTCTGGGATATTACCAAAACTTGGTGCTGACATATCAAATACTTTACGGTGTCAACTGGCTAATGTCAAACTACTCATAATTGATGAAATTTCTATGGTTGGCTTAAAGACTCTTGGTTACATTGATCAACGACTTAGACATATTCTACGTATTGACAAACCATTTGGTGATATAAATGTGATTGTTTTTGGTGACTTTTACCAATTAACCCCAGTTCTATCCACACCACTGTACGAATATTTTGATCAAATAGTTGCTAAATATCCAACTGCGATAGAATTAATATCGACGAAAGCGACATGGGAAACTTTTCAATTTTATGAATTAACTGAAATTATGAGGCAGAGAGATGATAAAGAATTTTCTGAAGTATTAACTAAATTAGCAAGAGGAGGACTAACTAAAAAAGATATAGCCTTTTTTATGAAACTCGTAAAACCGTTGGAAATTAGTTTTCAACCTGGAGTTATGCATTTATAGGCAACAAATAAAGAGGTAGACGATATGAATACGAGAGTATTAAATAGTTTAAATACTACTAGTTTTGTATCTGAAACAATAGATACATCGGGGAAAAAAGTTGATATTACAGCTGCAAAGAAACTTCCAAGGCAAAAAACTATGGGATTGCCTAAGACACTTATACTAAAAGTAACAGCAAAATATATGATTGTTACAAATATCAATACAGAAGATGGTATTGTTAATGGCGCTATTGGTGAATTGATGCAAATTAACCGTACAGTAACTGTTAGTGGTAAAGAAGTTGCCCATAGAGTGTGGATAAAATTTGATGAACCAGAAGTAGGTTCAATTACAAGACAAAAAGTTAAAGGGAAGTTGTCCCCTCAAGGAGAAGTATTTGACGACTGGTCTTACTGGACATCTATTGAAATTACGCATTTGGAATTTCAAATTGGTAACTCAGAGAACCGGAAAGTTACTTGAACACAATTACCTTTGGTTGAGGCATTGGCCTTAACTGTTCATAAATCGCAAGGGGCAACTTATGAAAATGTTGCATATCATGTGCCTAAAAAGTATTTACTGTGCAACATGCTTTATGTTGGATGCAGTAGAGCAACATCGGCTAAAGGCTTGAGTGTAGACTATTTTCCATCTAATCCGCCAAAACCGACTGTTAAAGTCAATGCTGAAATGATTAGACTGCGATCTTGTACAATTAAACCTAAATTTGAATTTTTGGCATCAGATAATCACTCAATATATTGTGTTTCACACAATATAAGATCATTGAATAAATATGTTGAACACATTCTTGCTGATAAAATACTATTAAAATCAAATTTACTATTTTTCCAAGAAACTGGATCTACAGATTCTGATTTTTATAATATTGAAGGTAGTACGCAAAAAAATCAAGAACAGAAAAATAGGTATAACTTCGAAAAAAATAGTACTGTCATTATGCCATGGCAAATAGAATTATCAAAAATGAATCATTGGATTATTGCAGTAATTAATTTCGAACTTAAAGAGTGTTGCATAATAGACCCAATGAATCCTACTAAAGATCCAAAATACAATCAGCAAAAGTTTCAAAAGTTATATAGAGGGTTAAAAACACATTGTACTTATGTTAAAAAACCAATTCCTCAAGTATCATTGGTTCAATGTAAAGCCAAAAACATACCAAAACAAGTTGATGCTTATAACTGTGGAGTTTATGTAATATACTACGCTATCACAATAATAAATAAGTCACATTTCGACAAGAAGTTCAACCCTAATAATTATAGAAACGAATTAAAAAGTTTACTGCTAGAAAATTCAGGTGACATGGCAAACATATGTTTATATTGCCAAAAGTAAATAGAACATCACAGCAGAATTCAATGGGTGTCATGCACTACATGTTGTCGTCGTGTGGTAACTGATTGTATAGCTGATGAGTATAGATTAAATGATTACAAACATTTTGATTTCTATTGCATTTTGTGTGACAAGACTAATAATTAAGTAAAACTATTTATTATAAAAATGTTATTTTTAATGAACAGCAAATCGTCGTCTCCCTAAAAAAAATCGTTTTTTATTAATATAGTATATTTTAAGTAAAAAATCTAAATCTTTAATTTTGATGGATGGATATAAATTTTGTTTTCATAAAACGTTTTAAATTTTTACCTTCATATTAGTAATTATGTTGACAATAATTGACTACATTTTAGCTTCGATGTATTTTATTTTATATTAATTCAACTTAAATATTTTTATCTCAAGACAAAATAAGAGTAAAATAACTTCTCTGCTTCTCATCGAAGCTAAAAAAATTTTTGGGAGACTTAACAGCCAACCTCCTCGTGGTGTCTCCTGGGTAATGCTAATAGGCTGAAGTATAAAAATTATAAATTTTTATCGTTTCAATAGCCTAAAGTTTAGGAATGAATTCATATGTGTACTGAGAATCAACTCGAACATCTTCTAATTTACCCAAGGAAATTGTAAATGTAAGTTAAATTAATATAACACTTATGTAAATTGATGACCTTATCACTGTGGCCTCCACTTTTATTACCTAGTTGTACATTTTTTTAAAAGTAATAACAGTGTAAAATAAAAATTAAAAAATAATGTGTATAAAGAAAGTTTTAAATTAAATTTTTTTGGTGAGGGTTTGTGGTAACTTTTTTTCATGATTTCAGAAAACGCCCAAATTTAAAAAACAAAATAAATTCCTTTTTAAAAATATTTTTTAAAAAGTTATACTAGCTTAATGTCAAAATAAATATTTTCAAAAAGTTTATGTATTATATTAGAATGTATTATAAAATTTGACTATAATTGTAAAAATCCATAGTGAAATTTAAATGAAATTAAAAATAATTTTTTTTAGAAATGATTTATATAGCAACATTTTAACAAAAAATTTGCATTATTATAGAATATTTAAAGAAAACAAAAATAGAGTTGAAAAATTAATAAATTCAAACTTAATTTGACAATAAATGCATTGGAACTGAATGATTATAATTGTCTATATGGAAAATAAGGGCTAAGTAACTTTTTAATTGATAAATTGGAAATTTTTTCAATTTTTAAGGGTTATCTTTAACTAGATAATACTTTTAATATGAAAAAGAAATTTCATGAAACGAGGGGAAACTATAATGATGGGGTCTGTGATATTCATTGAAGTTATTGAATCTAAATGAGATAAAAATCTAATGAGAATTAATACCTTTTTTAAGGTATTTTAAAATAAAATAAAATATAAAATCGAAAATTTTCACACAACTAGCCGTCTTAATAATTCACACCACCACGTTGCGAATCAGCCCGAAATTGATCAAGAGCTTATTCGCAACGTGGTGTGGCTCCTTCCCGTTAACCGGATCCCAGAGTGGGAACCGTTAGGGAGGACTGCCAAAATAACTCACAAGACATAAAACATTACACAAAAATGAAAACCTAAGGCACTGGCCTAAACCAGCGCCTTAGATCCTTCTGTGCCGGGCGACGTGGCTGTCTCTGTCTCAGGCGTTCTGCTTCCTCCTTCTTTAACAAGACGGATTTGGCAAACGTCTAGACGAGCCTCCACGCCTCCCGGCTCCTCAACATCAGGTCCACCATGGACCCGACTCGGAACGTGGACATTAGTCGAGACTTCAAAGAGTCCCGTTCCTGGGCCCACGCCACGCCTCGGAAGAGGGTGTGCAGAGCGCTATCAGCCTCTCCCGGGCGATCCGAACAATAGTCGCATGCCGTTATTTATAGCCGTTTGAAGTATAGATATGGTTATATTACGGTTATTTCAACATAAAAAAGGTTTTTCGTTGTAAAGTTTTTTAACAAGTTAAAAAAATTTTCTAGGTTCCAGGGCTTCTTCCGAAAGTTGAATTAAAAATGTTTTCAAATAAATTGTTACACAATTTAATTGATGTATAGGATTGTAATGAATATATATATACCAATCGGAAGTATTGCGAATCGTAATACGTCCGCTCCATGAATTAACATTTTGTGGACACTAGCAGACATATAATACCACGGGTATAAATCAGCTGTTTCCATAGCATAAATATAAAAAGCATCTACATTAATTTTTTTCCACTGGAAATTGCTGAAAGTATGTTTCCAAATCGTTTTACTAAATTTCTATCTATTCCTTTTATGTTCAATGTTATACCAATAAAGATTTGATGCATATGCTATTAGTATCAAGTGATCCATATATATCTCCAATGAAATTATTTAAAAAAAAAAGTATAAGTTAATTTTCTATTGATGTGCAAAATTTATTTTTAAATTCCGAATCGAACGTCGTAGATGAAATAAATAACCTAAACATTTCGATATTAGAAATAAAAAAAATGAAAGCTAATTGTAAATAAAAAATGTACGAATTGGTTTAATCTTATTAGCCTTATGCACAGTTATTTTTGTCGACCGCAATAAAAAATTATATTTTTGAAATCTAGACTAATTGCTCTACAATATCTATGCATTGATACTTGGTTAAAATAAGGTAATTTTTAGTATTGTGCTTTTTAGTTTCAAAAACGCCTCAAAAAATGCTCTATTTTATTAAAACGATGATTATTTAGTCAAAAAAAAATTTTTTCGAAATTTTTTTTTAACTCGTTAATAAACTTTACAACGAAAGACCTTTTTTATGTTGAAATAACCGTAATATAACCACATCTATACTTCAAACGGCTATAAATAACGACCGGATTAACATGTGATCTTGAAATTTTATATTTTGTCTAAGCAATATACTAGAATTGAGTTTTCATAATTATTTTAACATTATGAGTACATTTTAAAATGAGACTTATAAGCGCCTAAAATTCGATTTCAGATCACTGCGCCGTGTCGGGCTGTATAATATTGCATAGGGTCGGATCTGGCCGGTCACCTCCAACAAAAACTACCGGTAGGCTATGCCATATGACAGTCCCCGGATGTCTCTACGACGCTCGGGCTCGACTGCCGCCCTCCAGCTACTCCCCGTTCGGACCCTGTTGTCTGGCATTGACGCTGTTCTGTCTCCACAGGTAGCTGATGATGAGCCCCGGCACGTGACCACTCAGATTCTTGAGCCCTTTGTGGAACCTGTCCCGACGTAGGTTGGACACGCGGACGAAATCGTTCGTTTTCGTCGCGCACGCTGTGACGGTGATTCACCCGTTCGACCCGCGGTTGGGGCCTCCGGCGTTCCAAGCACTCCTGGGCCGGTTGCTGTGGCAGTCGGGTTGGGGAAACCCCACGTGTTGTTCGGGTCCATCTGTCCCTCCGCCTCACTAACTCTGGTCCGGTTTCCGAACGCCGGGTGCTGTCGGAGACCCCTCTCTCGTAAACGGCCCATAACAGCGGGTTGGCCCGAATCTCCCACAGCTCCGCTCTCCTCGTCATTTCGACCATCCAGCCGGTTGGAACATCGTCCGTTGGTTCGCCTGTGAGGATGGTCACACCTCTCCTCATTTAACCGCATAACGCTCCGCAAAATGTTGGTCAACTCGGTTGCTGCCGCTCGTGATGGGCGGTTTGGACGCGATTGACGCTGATTGTTGTTGGCTTGCTGTTCCGTCATTCTGTAACCAATCAAAAGCGTTAGAATACCTCAATTGAGCTGCACGTTTAAGGGCCGAAACGTGAAGCTTCAACTGACTTTTACCTTTGGTTACATAGACCCCCTCACCTAATCGTTTACTAATTTGCACTGGACCTTGCCATTTTGTTGCAAACCTCGCATGAAATTTCTTTTCAGCGCTAGATAGGGGATGTGCGTGGTAATAAACCCAATCCCCTTCCGTAAAACGATCTAGGTGATTTTTTAGCCGGGTAGATATGGTCCTGCGATCACTTTTACCGAAGTTCAATCCGAGTTCATCAGAGGGTTGCTATCCCCTCCGGAAAAATTTATTTTTCTATCGGACCGTCCGGTGTTTTCAGATTTTCCCGGCTCCTTCGTGGAAAATTGAATTTTTTCCGGTAATTCGTCGGTAAAAGTTTCTGTTCTACTGGACAATTCCTCCTTTCATTGGATCTTCTCTAATTTGTCCGGTCCCATCTACTATAGCAGTCCGTTGCTACTAGTAGGCATGTTCTCCCGCGCGCAGTCCTGGGATATGGGCCCATAAGATCAATACTTATGACCTCCAATGGCTGGCGTGGCTTTCTCGGTGTCATCGATACCGAGAAAGCCACATACGCATGACACATGCGCAAACGTGACACCTCGCGACGTATTGTCTCACCGATTCTCTAATACCGGTCCAGTAGAAACGCTTACCGATGGTACGGTAGGTTTCTTTCCAACTTGGATGCCCGACTAGTTCATGGTCATGATACCTCCATAGTAGGTGATCAGCCATGTCCGACGGAACGACG